TTAGCTGTTGATTGCTATTTTGCATTCATCATTCGATTTCATCGCTTTCATTTCGTTTTATTCACTCTTCATTCATTCTCTGTCATAAGTACCACCATTCACTGCATCGAATTTTCACGTGGCAAAAACTTTTGAGTCGTCCTATTTCATCAAAAGTCACCTCAACACAGTCGTATAAAAGTAAAGACGCGAACTACACGAACTACTCGATGTGTTCTCCGTTGAACTTGACATGCCCGTTCTATGCCTTTGGCATCATTTGCGCACGTGAGTAGCCACCGAGTACATAGTTTTACGTTCAGCTAACCAAGCCAACGTCGAACTTGTGCGAAATATATTATCTCAGAGAACCATCATCGGTCATTCCTATCTCCTCCCAGTCTGCTGTTGTCGAGTGATTTGGAGAACCGCAAGAAGCAATCTGAACAGACGATCTATAAACTTTCGGAATTTAAAGTTCAGTCATTCAAGAAGCAGTGTATATTCTTGTAGAAGATTGTAATCTGTCCTATTAGATTGTCTGATATTCTTCTAACGAAATCGTTTATTGAGTATTTGCTGTTGTAATTCGTTGTTGCTGTAAAGAAAGCATCCTCTGATTTTTGTTTCAATGGAGGCTCTCGAAAGAATTTTATCTGTGCTACTCAAGCGAATGTCTAGAAGTATAACTGCTGCAACAGTTATGCCATTGGTGCAATCCTATTTGAGTATGATACGAGCAATATTACGGTTTCTTGTCAGACATTTGATGGCACATTTGAAACTTTTGGTAAGTTATGGCACAAATCCGCATGAAAATATAGGATAAATTTCATGATATTGAAGAGAATTTATCAAAGTTGAGCATTCGAAAGCTTAAAATTTATTGGAAATGAAATTTCAGACTTCTGGTAGTCATGTTTCACAAGCGATTCTCACTGCCGCTCAGCCTTTCTATCATTCGCCTGGTGTTTCGCCGCAAGAATTTCAGCCAGATCGTCCGATTGGCTATGGTGCCTTTGGTGTGGTTTGGTAAGTGATCATATTCTTTGAATCATCAAAAATATTCCGAGTCTCTGAAAAGTTGTTCCGATTTTCTGGACTAGATGAGCTGATTTGAAATGATTTGTTCAAATCAGATTTCTTCACTCTCTTAAGGTTGTCATCCATGCAGGTGTTCCTTTATTCATCTAGTATGCATCCAAGAAACCCATATTCTACTTTTTATGAATTAACATGTTAGCATTCGCTATCGTAGGTAACAATCAAATGAAGAAAAAGGGAACGAAAATAAGATGTTTAAAAATCTGAGCAATTTATAAATAGTCTCATTTGGGGAATCGATTATTCATCGTTTACTGTTGTCCAGTGTTCATAGAGGGTTCATTTTTCACGGCATATTCTTGTACCAAACAAAATCACCTATTCGTTTACGATGAGGAAGGCACTAACAGGCACATTTCCTCAGAAGTGCATCGATCTTGTTTAGTGGGATTATAGATCTGAACTTATGACAACACATCAAAAATCACTTAATACTCTCCGAGAATTTTTCTAGCCTGTTTGTCCGTGGATTGGTCAATTTTTTGGGGGTTCCTCATGGGACAAATTTGATCGACAGCTTTGATGAAGTGTAGTTGCTCGTGAATATATTCAAATTACTCAAAATAAAAATATGAGACGTGTATTTGAAAATGAATGAACAAAGATCGAAAATGATGATTTTCAGGTCAGTGACAGATCCGAGAAGTGGCAAACGTGTAGCGTTAAAAAAGATGCCAAATGTCTTTCAGAATCTCGCTTCATGTAAACGCGTCTTTCGTGAAATACGCATGCTTTCAAGCTTCAAACATGACAATGTAAGTTCGCCATTTATATTCTCACTCGCCATTTATATAAATATTCACTTATTTCATCGTAAACTTGTTCATTTCTTCCCCATATGTGTATCTATTTGGTCTTTGTCCAGCTAGATCTCTGCTTTTTATTTGTTATTTATATG